CCTTCTCAGAGACAGTGCTTACAAAATGAGACGGTCTTTTGCTTATTGGAAATGGCAAGTGTCTACATTTCTAGAATAAAAGGTTTAATGATCAACTACTTGCCTGTTAGCGTTGTGGATATCAAGTCATTTGGGCATGTGACAAAAGGGAGGCGGAATATGGGTTGTCCAAGTGGTGTCTTGGAAAAGTGGAAATATTGCTAAGGGGCAAATGTATTTTTGAAGCAAACAAGGTAAAAGCATGCATGTATGCAGTCAAGTATTCGTATTTTAGATATCAAATAATGTGAGATCTTGTAATTTTGGGGAGTTTATGCCCATAGTGCAGCCATTTCAACCTATGTTGTTGCAAGCAGAGTGAGCCTTTATTTGGGTCAGTGATTAGATGGTCTCCCAATTAAAAAATACTCGCATCGTTCCTCTATCCCTTAAAAATATCTTTCAACTTGGCGCTTTTTGTGTCAAATAGAAAAAAACTGCTAAAATTAGGCGCTAAAGGAAATTGGTATGACAATTTGCTTAAGGGTGGGCGGAAAGCAGTTTTGAGCTAAGGAGAGACAGTTGGACACTTATCAAAGCTCCTTTGCGTGTTCTTCTGCAACGAGACCCAGAATCTGTGATTTGCAATTAGATGAGAAAATTTTGGCTCCGGAACCACTTCCCTCTACCATTTTCTCCCCAACTCGTACATTGTTTTATATTCTCCATTCCGCTTCTTCCATAAAAGATGAGAGGGTTATATTGGATGTGACACTACGCCTTCCCTTCCACGGCCTAACTTGCAAGTCTCTCCATAGCTACCAAAACGGCAATGCAATGTCCTCAAGACCTCAAAATATGAGGCCTCTTCTGGTTATCCCTCAAGATGTCTGCCTCCTTTAAGTGTAAAGCTTATTGTCGCAGGTAGAAAGATCTCAATCGTTGATGTTGAGGCACAGTGTAAGCTCGGAATTTTGGGGTATAAATCCATCTCCATCGTAAAGATGTGCGTAGTGGGGTAGAAGGCGGTACTTTTAGTGATTACTCATAATTCGTCATTTGATGGGCTTTTAACACTGCCAAGGCTTTCCTAATTAATAAAATATATAACAGATTGCCTCGCTACTCACCTTGTCGTCCTTTGCCGGAAGATTCAACTATGCTGATGCTAAGCGAAAAGTAGCCAAGGTGGGGATGATGTTGATCCTAATTGAGCAGGACTCTCTCGCCTCCCCACCCATCTAATTAGGCTGCTTCATTCTCCGACAGAAAAAACAGTCGCCTATGCAACGTCTTAATGAGTGCGTGAGTCTCTTCACAATTGAACAGTACGACCGCCATTTGCTCATCTCACGGATATCCGTAACACCCACTTCTACCAAGAACATCCAATCTCCAGAAGGTGTATTGCGGTTTGCTGCAATCAGATGAATGGCAAGTATATTTGCTTTTTTGCGCGACTATTAATTAGGGCGATCACTCATTGTAAAGTTAGTCTCTAACCATCTTCATGCCTGTGTATTGTTCTCACCAGCTAGCTACATTATGGCAGTGCTCTATCAGGGCTTTGGTGAAGACTGTCGTTATGGAGACAAGAAACTAATTGCTTAGGGCCCTATCCAGTAGGGTAGATGACTTTTGCAGTTTACGCTCTTTGTAGAGTCTATATCGACAAACAGATGTGCGTGGTTTTATTTGCAGATTATTCAAATTAATGAAAGTGATGGCAACAGGGAGTGTACTTGGTAACGAGGATGGACACACAATTGTTTTGCATTCTAACACTCTGGCACATGTAGCTGAGCAAACTGCATAAGGGAATAAATGGAAGGTGATAGAAGTGATAGTGAGGATAACACTGATTTACTTGTCAAAGTCTCAATAATTTTTACTGTTTATTATGCCTTCAGCGTGATGAACAGCTCCACCTGTTGCCTATCTATCCATCCACACACCACCACCCTAATATTAGTCTGCGGAGCAGACAGATATCCACGGACTCACTAAGACGTCATGGTAATCAAGCAACAGAATTGACGACACTGTGTTCCTCCTTTTAATACCTTCTACCTTTGCACAACACACACACACCTGGGACTGTAGGGATTGCATCCTTCATATCGTTGTCCAATTCCACAATTTCTTCATGCCATCAGGTCTGGCCTAACTTTCCTCTTCCTAATGTGCACAATACAATGTCAGCAAGACAGTCAGTGACTTCTATGAGCAATTCGTAAACTGTAAGGCTGTTCCAGACAATAATTTTGGCATTCTGCATCACTGTCAGCCTCATTTTTCCCTTGTGACTACATAGTTTTCATTTCACTCTTCCAAATGTGCTGTCGATACGACAATCAGGGACTTTTAAGGAAGGTTTGTGGCTGCAAGGCTCTCTGAAGCAATGATAATGCCATTCCATAAATCTTTGGCCCATTGTTTTTATTGGCTACAGGGTTATTTTAAGAGGGTTACGAGTAAAGGGCTGGGGTGACTTTTGGGATCATTTGATGCAATCACATTGCTAGTCTTAACGCACCAAAGTATTTCTTTGCCCCTTTTCACCTATTACAGTCATGTAGAAATTCCGTGAGCATTTGGAAAAGCCAACCATTTCCATTGTGTATTTATCATTTGCCTCCACCGATCTGTTTAAAGTATAACAAGCAAGGAAAATAAGACAGGAAATAGCAGGGGAGGTTTAAGAACTTACTGTCCTTTAGATTAGCCATTCATCTTGGAAACGAAAATCCATTGGTCATGATTTGCGCCTTTTCACTCATCCAGCGCTCTCTCCATCCTTGCATAAGATTCTGGCCTTGGGTCTTATAGATCGACTGATCGATTGATCGGTTGCTCAGCAAGATTACTAAAGCACAACTACTGCTCAATGAATGCTCTTTTCAATCGGTTAGCACAAATGCGTCAGCAAAAAACCAAAATCTGAGTCTCTTATCCACCAAACCATTCGGATGCCGCTTGTAATCGCCACTCCTGATCGGTGCTTCCTACGATTTGCAGTGGCAATGATGAAGGAAGGAAGAGCTCAATGTGCTAGCAACCTGATTGCACCTCTATTCGCTAATCAGGAAAAGGGGCAAAACAGGTGTGACTTAATGCAGACTTGCATCAGCAAATAAATGCTAGCACAAACGATATTCTGGGTTTACAGACTTGGAAAGGGCATTTATTAGGGCCTAAGTAACGGCATCATCTTCCTGGCGGGCCCCAGTCCAGAATCACTTCCAACGACAGTGTCAAAGTTCACGCTGCCTTCGCTAGAATTTGTTGTCTGCTCATAATTCCCTCTCTTCCAATTGAAAGTGCCCTAACATGAATGTATTCTGCCCCAAAATGTCGGTTATTTTCCACGTTAAAAAACGAAATGCTCTGTTTGCACTGTATTATGCTACAGGTGTACATAAAAAATGCATTAGGTTTCGCCTGCAGGAAGTCATGGGAGCTAGCTCTAACTCTAGTTGTAAATGATGGGGATCATATTATTGAAAAATGGTTATTCAAGGAAATACTTGTGGAAAGAAATTATTTAAATGATTGTTTACTGTAGCAGTACCATTAAGCCAGTGGGAACCATTGCCTCTTTAACTTTAGGATAGACCAGAGAGTTTACATATTACGTAAGTAATGCGAGATATCGCCGATTCACCCCTCAAAGTTGATGATGCACTATAATAATAGCTCATTAAAGACCCTTTAATAATAGCGTAGCAGCGATTTCATTGGAGTTTCGGTACCAAATTTCCATTCGCATTCAAATTTTGGCTTTCAGGTACGAAATGGTGAAGACGGCTTTCATGAGATGATGTAAAATAACCTCAAGGAAAGATTCAATTTCCATCCAAATGGATTCTTTAATTGCTCTTCATGTGATAGTTTAAAGAGATTCGAAGCACATTAACAAAAGAATAAGGTGCCAAATTAGGTTAAAAACAATATCCTGTTTAATAGTTGGACAGGCATAGGTGCTAGTATTGCAGAGTGAGACTCAAAGCCTCGCACTGAAAGAATTTAGCACCATCTATTTGTGCAATGAGGTCAAATTAGAGACTAATTTAGTAAACTGTACCAGAGTTACCGTAAATCGCTACCAAAGGTTGCCAAGGGACAAATTCATATTCGTAAATGCCAGTCTGATGGTCTGATAGAAAATACCATTACGATACCACTTCCGTCACATTGATCGAGTGAGCTCAAAATCTACTCAAACACCGTAATGTACAATCCTTTTTTATTAGTATAATTCATTAAAACACAAACAATCTATTTGAACATCATGGTTTGTTACAGTATCACATATGTGTTTGACGTAACGAAAGTGGTTGCGATGAGGAGAGTAGAAAACACCCTCTAGGGTTGCAGCTTTAATCAGAAAGAAGGCCAAACTTAGGAAGAATACAGCTTTTGCCAAGTTGAACAAACCCAATAGCAGATTTTGCAGCCGAAATAGCATTTTCAGCCTCTTGGGCAGTGTCTGCACAAGCTTATTTGTCCCAGACTAGAGGAGGAAGAGTACCACTACATCCCTACAAAATCGTCACCGGCTGTTTTCCAAAATCATCTTTGTAAAGTAGTGCTAATACACAACTAAGCGATGTGGAATTGTGCTCAACGGCAATCATAATAATAGCTAATTTCACGTGGACAGCATCAGCCATCTCACAAATATGCCCCTTTTCAGGCTCATCCATAAATTCGTTACCATGTTTTATTGCGCTTGTCATGCACAGAATTCGCCAGCAAGGCAATAAACCTCATTATTTTGTAAATCTGTTTTTGATACTAAAAATTTACTCACAGATGCGGTTGAAATTGAAAGAACACTAAAGTCATGTCCAAAGTATGTTTGACACAGTGGTCACGCTCAAGGCAGCGCAACCGACAGTGCTGCTCATCGACTCCTTGCCAATGGCAGTGGCTCTAGTGAACCAACACATGCTATATTCTTTCAAGTCTTCTCTAGACCATTCACTCAGATCATCCACGAATCCTACTTTAGAGAATGCTGGGGCCCAAGACCAACCTTCTGACCTACCTTCTCACTAAATTGCCACCGTTCAGTTTTTAATGTCACCGGTTAATGCCGCTGAAACAATTATATCCTCTTTAATCCTTGAATATTGGAGAAGAATGGCGCACCATATCAAGCGCTACTCAAAGATTTTTGAGGCCAAAAAAGTCACCAAAAGGGAGATGGTCATTAGGAAGAAGCCGTAGCCCCACCACGACAATATAGTGAGCCTGAGGGGAGTCTGAGACGAAACCACTCTGCCACATGTGTTGGTATCGTATGACTCGAC